CACGCAACGAAGTAACGCCGCGTGGAGCACACCGCGGAGCATCGCGCAGATGAGGGTACCAATGCGTTCCCAAGTATGCGCGCTTGCGACGTCGCGGGAGTTAGGCGCCGGTCGGCGCTCCTGCCCCGAATCGGCGCGCGCAGTGAGCACGCGCCGCGACCTCGTCCTCGCATCGGAAGATGCCACGAACCAATTCCCGATGCTCTGGTCGCAACGGAAGCCGCCTGAAGGCGGCGTCGATGTCAAGTTTACACAAGCGCGGCACTTCGGATGCCTGCAACCCTGGTGCGCGCCACTCTTGCGCACTCGCGGCGCAGCGGCCGCCTCGTCAGTAAACAGTTTGCAAAGCGCGAACATGTGATCGACCGCCTCGTGCCGCACGCGCTCATGCGGACGCGTTGCGGGGCTGATGTCTGCAATGGGGCATGCAGCCCCGCTTCTTGGCCTTCGCGACTTCGGCCGCCAGCCAATCGGATTTCTCGCTCCTGCCGCTCTGCAACAATCGCGGCCGCCGCCGCTGGCGCGCGCGCGCGAAAGCCGCGTCTCGGCCAGATCGTCTGGCTGAGCCCGTTCAGCGGAACCGTCGCGAGCACTGCGCCCACGTCGACGCGGTGCATAGGGGCGGCCATTTCCACGTTGGCCGCAGCCCCGACACGAATGCGCGGGCACTGGGACGCGCCGCGCGCGCACGCGCGACCGCCTGCTTGCCCGCTGTCGCGAGGCGCTCCAGCGCGCGAGGAAGTGCGCCCATCAGAGCCGCCGACAGGTTCTCTGAGCCAATCAGCTCCTCTATGCGAATGTTCGCCATCTGCGCTGGCGTCTTCAACTTATACGCCCCGAGTCAGCCCATGGCGGGTTTAGACTCGAACTCCTGCCAGTCCGCCCCCAACACGGGGCCCCGTCGCAGGGGGCCCAGCGACGCGCTGTCGGCCATGATAGCAAATAACCGATAGCAGCGAATCGCAAGTCTCCTTCGGCAGAACACTGGCGTCACAGCCCGCGCGAGCGGCAACTGGGGCGCAGCACTGCAGACCGCCTGCCGCTGTCAACCTGATACACAGCGCATTGATACCCTGAGCACCTGATAGCGACAGGGACCACCGAAGCCACAAACACAACACCAGATTCCGTGCAGGACCAAAAGGGCGCAGGCGAGCCCCCGACGCGGGCACCCGTGGAGCCCCGCGGCCGGCCACGATAGATTTCTCGAGAACGCCGAGACCCCTTTGGGCCGGCCCCCCCATTCCCCATGGGATTGACGCAACGGCGCGCAGGTCGCTCAGGACCATCGGAGAGTGCCCTCTGGGCCTTATACAAATCATCATAGTCACCACGACTAATGACCCTTTTCGGGCCGCACCCCTCGTCCTCCACGGGGCTCGGACGACAGCGCCGACGTCGCACTGGGCCAGCGCGGGAGGCCCCTCCCGGTGCGGCGTGAGCGCCAAGACCCTTGAAGGCCGCCCCAAAATCCTCTACGGGACTGGGGCGACCGCGCGTCAGTCACCCTGGACCCGCGGAAGAGGCGGAAGCCACTCTGGGCGCGGCAGCGACGCCAAGACCCCTCAGGGCAGATCCCAAAATCCTCTACGGGACTTGGACAACCGCGCGTAAGTCACTCTGGGCCCGCGAAAAAAAGATGGGTACTTAGGTCGCACTGGACCAGCGTGGGAGACCACTCTGGGCACGGTAGCGACGCCAAGACCCTACAGGGCCGATCCCAAAGTCCTCTACGGGACAAGGACGACGTCGCGTAGGTCACGCTGGACCCGAGGACGAGGCCCCAGAAAACGAGCAGCGACAACGGTCACGTCCGGCGCACTCTTGCGAACGGACGCGCCCCGCGCGTCGCCACAGGGGTGGTCCAAAGCGGCGCTCTGGCAGGCAAAGGACAACACCCTGGCCAGCCCCACCTCAGAGTGCACACTAGGCAGGTGGGGCGCTGCAAACATGGCCGGGTCCTTGATACCCCGCCCCGCGGCCAGGCGGCAGAAAGGATACATTTCGACCGTGCACGGAGGGACAGAGGAAGGAGGGACACCGACCTACGGCAGCGCGGCGCGGCAGCATGCCCGCGCGGGAGCCTGGCCCGCCCGACGGAGCGGCACCCCGCGGCGGGTGGTCACGCAGCCGCCCGCCATCGCGCGGGGCGCCGACGGCGGGACACTCCCGCCTGGGGGCGTCGACGTATGAATTGCAATACCAAGCTATCACCGCCCAGGTAGGCCGAGGTCTCCCTCAATCCTCCCCTGTCGCTGAACAGTGTGCTGTGTTTGCTGCTGTTTCCTCCTCCTCCTCGCGGATCACGGAGGTCTCGGTAGATGACCAGAGAATTGTAGATTTGTGCGCGTCGGGGCCCGCTCGGGAGAACCGATATGCAGGGATCGACCTTCTCGCCCGCGCTGCCATATGGTGGCACCCAGGGATCCGATTCACCGAAGTAAAAGCCCACCAGAGTCCCGACGCTTTTCCAGCAGGAACTCCCTACTGGGAGGACGTTCAAGGCAACCTTGGGCCCGACCGCCTTGCTGGCATCGCCACCAGGGTTTTCAATCGACCCTCGGACGGAGGGATCGAAGCTCACGCCTCGGAGTGCACGCTGCTCAGCTAAGATCTTCACTTTGTTTCCCGCGCCCTGCAGGAGTGGCCTCCTGTGGGGCCTAGCGGGACCAAGAAAGCTCTCGACAAGCCCCGACAGAGCCAGTCGCCTGCAGTAGGAGCAGTGGTGGCGCAGCAGACCTGGAGTCACCTCCAGCACCAGACTGGTGCTGCTCCTTCCCCTCAACCTCCTGCTGCCGCCCCTCGTCCTCGTGCGGTCTCGGGGACGGGTAGAGAGCACCGTTGGGAGGTGGCGGGAAAAATATGTCTCTGCATAGATTGTCGCAGCAAGGCAGCCAGCAGGAAGCCAGGGCCGTGCTTTGGATATGCCCTCTGGGCCAAGCCCCAAGATCACAGCTTGTTGATTTCAGAAGCCCGTCGTGGGGGCTCGTTCATTGTGGCTTGTGGCCAGTTTGAGAAATGTGCAGAGTCCCAGCCGAGGGCCCTCGACTGAGTGTGCGCCACGAAATTTCAGAGGGACGGGGATCGTACCCGATGGAACCTCCTTCTAAGCGGGAGACATCCCAAAGGAACCCGGTCCTCCCCTATTTGCTAGGGGCGCCCGATGGCGCTCGCCGTCTACCTCCAGCGCCAGTCAGACGAGCTGGACCAGAAGGCCGCCCCAACGCCCCCGCCAGATCAGCAGGAGGATGAGGTGGGCGGCTAGGAGGCAGAAGCAGTCGAACCCTAGTCCGCGTGCCGGTCCTTTTCCTGTTCCTCCTCCTCCGTCTCCTCCTCCTCCTCACCTTTCCTCCTCCTCCTCCTCCTCCTTCCTCCTCCTCCTCCTCCTCCTCCTCCTTTTCCTCCTCCTCCTCTTCCTCACCCCTTTCTACCTCCAGCGAGTGCGCGCCCGAAACACGCACGTCCTTGAGGAACCGCCCCAACACCTCAGTTCCACGATGCCCTGGCCCGAAGATACTCTTTCAAGGCCCTGGGACCCCGATGCACAAATTCAAAACAATACCATTATTGCCTGGTACAATACAACGCAAACCGCGAAAATCAATGGGCCCCGCGGCACGAGCCCCGAAGGGTTCAGCGCCGATGCAGATAGGAGCACAAACCCCAAAGGGTTCTGCGCTTGAAGCTTCTCTGGCACGAGCCCCGAGGGGTTCTGCACCACAAGAACGAACCCCGAAGGGTTCAGCGCCGATGAAACCAGGAGCACGAGCCCCGAAGGGTTCTGCGCTCGAAGCTTCACTGGCACGAGCCCCGAGGGGTTCAGCGCCGATGAAGCTAGGAACACGAGCCCCGATGGGTTCTGCGCTGGAAGCTTCACTGGCACGAGCCCCGAGGCATTCAGCGCCACAGGCACGAGCCGCGAAGGGTTCAGCGCCAGGTGTATGATCTTTTGGGGGCGGCCCATGTATGTATGTAAACATGTATATATGTAGTTATGTAAGTATGTATGTATATATTTGAATATATATGTATGCGTGTATGTATGCACGTATGGATGTATATGTGTATATATATGTATGTATGCCAGTCGGTCAGTCTGAAAGTACGCATGTATGTTCTATATGTACGCATGTGTATGTGTGTATATGCATTCATACAACATATGTGTAGACACGCGAATCAATAGATAACGTACATATGTGTATACATACATGTGCACACACATAATTATATATACATCTACACATTCGAACTCCGCGCGCGCTTAGGTTCTAGCACGCCGTGGCCATCGACAGCAAAACAGCAACACATACGCATGTGTTGAACAAGAGTTGCGACGACAATGACAAGGAAATCCTTTGAGGGCAGAGCAGGAAAACCTCACCACATGCCCCCCGTTGTCCTCCGCCTCCTCCTCCCCCTCGCCCTCCTCGTCCTCCTCCTGCTCCTCATGTTTTTGCCCCCCCCTCCTTCGTCGATTATGCCCCCTCATCCTCGTCATCCTCCTCGTCCCTCTTCTGGGCCTCCTCCTCATCATCCTCCACCTGATCACTGGGACTGTTCAGCCTCGTTCTCTCGTCCGCCGGCGCCTCCCCGACATCCCGCTACTCTTCCTCCTGTGCGCGGCTGATCAGGCCCTCTGGGGCCCTTTCGGTCGGTCGTCGTAATATCCCCAGGTGGTAGGGAAATAATAAACAAATTCGAGTGACCTTCGGTCAAACCCGCCACATTGCCTGGTTCGTAGACTGGAGGCCTGTCTGGGAAATACTTGGGGGTGTATTAGGAGGCTCGTCGGAGACCTCTCGACGCCAAATTTAGGGTATCGGGAATCTCTTGAAGCCATGGGGGCGTCTCGGGGTCCTCTCGGGCCCTCTTGGAGACGGGCTCGACATGACAGTTCGGGTATTCTTTTTCCTGAATTGTTCCTGTTCTTTTCTGTTTTTTTTTTTTTGGAGGGGGGCCCCCCCCCCCCCCCCCGCCCAGCCTCGAGCGGGAAGAGCCCGCGCGTCCTCTGAATCGCAATTGTTAGCAAGGCTATCAGAGTTATTCGACACATCGCGCGGAGCGGCAACTTTACAGGTCAAATCGAGCACCGAGCAGCACAAAAGGTCACTTGAATAATCGGTCGGGGTCGAACGTCTTGTCGAACTCATCGGCTTCACGCATGATTGCGAGGACGTCGTCGGGGAGGTCAGCGTCTGCCCCGGCGCTCTCGGGCTCGTTCCCCGGGAGGGGAAACGCACGATGACCGTCGCCACTCCGAGCGTTGGTCAGACACCCTCCATGGGAACCAGCACTATGAATAGCATCGTCGGAAAACACGAGCGCCATGCGGAGCGGCGCTAGGATCAGCGCCACCAACATCATGAAGACTAGCTCGAGGAACAGCCCTAGGACAGGCGCTGCCAACTTCATGGGGGGCGGCACGGGCACAACCTTCACCAGCAGGGTCGGCAAGAACGCCAGCAGGACGACCAGCAGGGTCGGTGTAAGGACCGGCACGATCACTACTACGAAGAGCAAAACGAGCACGACGTGAAGGAACAGCACGAGGAGCGGCATCGTGGGGAGCGGCATGAGCAGCGCCTGGAGGAGCAGCACTACCCCCGCCATGAGGATCAGCACGCCCGTGAGTGTTAGCACCACCATTGCCACGAGGACCAGCACCTCCGTGAGGATCAGCAAGGCCATCAGCAGGAGGAGCTCCACAAGGATCAGCTCGAGCGCCGCCATGAGTATCAGCATGAAAACCTCCAGCGGGAGCAGGGCGGAGAACCAGCGAAACAATACACTCGCCAGCAGAATTCTTATGTCCATGATCCGCAGCGACAATGTTAGGGAGCTCGGCGATCAGGTGCATGAGCCACGTCACCAGGAAGCCATTTGACATCTCATTGCTGCATTAGCTCAACAACCGAATGTGCAGCACGATCTTGTTCGTGTGGGTGTTCACGACGAAGTGGGCCTTGCGACCCAGCGTCAGCTGATACACCAGCCATTGGAGTCTTGCTAGGGTGACCATTGCAACAAATGACAAGTGCGGATCTGTGGCGCGCACGTGTTCGCTAGGAGGCCTTTGACTCAAGCAGGTGCTTGAGCCAAAATGGCTAGTTCGGGTCTCCCCTCTTGGGACTCTCTTGGGGCCTTCTTGGCGGTCTTGGGGCCTCCTGGGCAGTCGTGCGGGCCTCCTGGGGACCTCTTGGGCCGTATTGGGGTGATATTGGCGGGCGATGTGGTCGTGTTGCAGCTTCGGAAACCTGAAAAGGCGATAGTGCTAACATCACTGGTGCACCTATGGGAAATGTATGAGTTTGCCCTCCTGGGGCCCTCTTTGGGGCCATCTTTTGGGCCGTTGTGATGCCCTCTTGGGGCGTTTGGGTACTCTCTTGGGCGTACTTGACGCCATCCTGGCCGTCGTTGAACACTCTTGAACCATATCGGAGCCTTCCTGGACCGTCTTGGAGGACCCTCCTGGAGGACCCTGGGAAAAGGGATTCAAAGTGACCCCAATCGATGTTCACGAGGTGTGCGGAGCTCTTGGGGGGGCTGTACTCGGTGGGATTGAATACTGTGTACGCGTTCCGAAATATAAGCGTATACATGCATGTGTCTGGTTGTGGTTGTTGTGTTGGCTCTGTCTCTCTCTCTCTCTCTCTTTTTCTGTTTGTTTTTGTGTGTCTCTCTCTCTCTCTCTCTCTCCCCCCTCTCTCTATCTGTACATGCATACATATAACTACAGAAGAAAACGGACAAAGAGAGAGAGAGAGAGAGTGTGAGAGAAAGAAAGAAAGAGCGAGAGAAAGAGAGACAGATGGAACGCGCGCCCATGGCACATTCTCACCCTCACTCGTATTGTCCGCCCCTTGGAAACCAACCCCCTTCCCTCCTTTTCGCGTTCTGGAAATTACCCCTGGTCCCTGTCCAAATGCAGGGGGGGGCTTAGCTACCCCCCTCTTTGACCCCCCCTTTCCAGAAGCCCTCCCCCCTCTTTTTTTTCCGCGAAGACGAGACGCTTCTAGTGGCACGCGAATGTTACCACTTGAGGCACATCGACACCATGTACTGAAAAGGCGTTCCTCTGGTACCCCTTGCGTCATATGATACTGGAGAACACCCAATCAGAATCTTAGACCTATGGGGTGAAAGGGCTATTAGGGCTTTACGGCTATAGGACTATAGGGCTATAGGGTTGAAGTGCTATAGGGCTATAGGGTTATACAGGGCTCTAGGGCTATAGAGCTATAGAGCTATCAGGTTATAGGGCTATTGGGCTATAGGGTAACTGGGTTATACGGCTATCAAGGCTATTGGGGCATTCGGGCTACAGGGCTATATGGTTACAGGGCTGTATGATTATAGGATTATGAGGCTATAAGGCTATAGGGCTAAGAGGCTATAGGGCTACAGCGCTGTAGGGCTATTAGGGTTATTAGGGCTATAGGGCTACAGGACATAGGGCTCTTGGGCAATAGGGCAATAAGGCTATAGAGCTGTAAGGCTATGGGCTATATGGCTATAGGGCTACCGGGCACCCCAGCCCTTCCGAAAAGAGTCCGTTCGGCGCCGAATGGACTTGCTTTCAGCGAATCTCCGCGCAAGCGCCGGATGGGCTCTAATCGGCGTGAGCTAAACATATGGAAAACATTGCACATAATAGGTCGCGTCGCCGGTGCTCGCCGGATGGGCTCTAATGTCAGCTCGATGGGCTCTCTTCCAGCCGGATGGCCTCTATCCCGCCGGATGGTCTCTAACTTCGCTGGATGGGCTCTGTGAAAAGGCTTCGCCCACTGGCCTCTTTGAAATCCGACGTGAGTTTTGGATACGACGAAACGATTTGTTTGTTGAATGTCCTCGCTCAGAAAAATGACATTCTCATGCTGGCGCCTCTCGGGCGCACCTGGCGCTCGGCGTTCCCGTGTCTCGTATTCCTACAAGTCCTCCAATGCGCACGGACTGTCGCGTGTGTTTCCTTGCGTTTTTTTTTGTTTGGTATGCTATTGGTACGCAATGTGATCATAAGGGTACTCGTGGGGGGACCCAAACAAACGCGGGGTGAATTCGCGTATTTCCCCAAGGATCCGCGAAAGACTTCCGGATGATCCCTATGGCTTCCCTGAGGATCACCCCCATCCCTCGTTCCCCTGGACCCGCTGGGGACCCCCAAGGACCCCGAAAATTTCCGTGGGCATCCGCCCAGGATCCCCAAGGATTCCTAAAGGTTTATCGAGGGCGCCATTCAGAATCCCGAAGGATCCGTGGGGGGATCGCTAAGGGATCACAAGCTCCCCTGAAGATCTGCTAATGATCCGCTCCCTAGGGTCTCCCCTGGGACCGCTAAGGATCCCGAGGGATCTTTACGGTGTTCCTGGGGGGCGCGTTAAGGATCTCAAAGGATCCTGAGACTTTCCTTAGGAACAGCGAAACATCACCACGGATTCCCTCGGTTCCCTCAGAATTCCGCTAAGGATCCCGAAAGATCCGTAGGGCCCCCCTTAGATCCGCTGGGGATCCTCGAGGATCCCAAGGATTTCCCTTGGGAGAAGGATCCCGAGGATCAGCCGAGGCGGTGGCGTGGCGGGGCGGCGGGGTCGTGGGGTTGAGGGGCAACAAGGTCTCGGGGCAGTGGCGCGAGGTCGCGCGTTCGCGCGGCGGCGGGTTGACATGGCGGTGGCGTGGTGGGTGGCGGGGGCGCGGGGGCGTGAGAACTTATGGTCGCGGGATAGGGTCGCTTGGTGGCGGGGTAGTACGGTCGCGGGAGCGCAGGGTGGCATAGGGTCGCGGGGGCATCGGGGCAATCCCCGGGCACCTCCGGGCGCCCCTGGGCATCCAGGCCAGTCGCCGCAATCGGCGACGAACGTCACCTAACCATATGAATCCGCTAGGACCCCTACAGAGGCGAGCTCGCGACGCGCGTCGGGCAGCAGCAAAACGACGCGCCTCTCGCGGCGACCTGGCTGGCCGCGCTTATCTAGCTGCACATTTCGAAAAGTTCGCTATCGCCTTCCACTCTTCGCAGAGTGGACGCTGCAATTTGCGGCAGTTCTCGCGCAAGAAAGAATGGGCGTCCGCAAATGGCTTCGGAATCAAATTCGGATTCAACGGCGAAGTGGGTTCTGCGAGCTGCGGGCCAGGCTGAGGGCGTCGGCTGTCGTAGCACCTGAGAGGACGGGCACGGTCGCCGCTTTCCTTGAACTGTTCTGGTGGGAACTCGGCCACCGTCTTGTCCGTCTTGCAGGAGGCAGCGCGGCTGCCGCTCGTGCTGCGATCCTTCTTCCCAGGGCGAGCCCTTCAGCTTGTGGCGCGTCTCGCATAGGGAAGACTCGACGTCCGCAAACGTCTGCGGCATGTGCTTCGAATTAGACTCCGCAACCGGCTTTTTGCAGTTTGCCACAGTCGTGCACTCCAGTTTTCTCCACTTCTTGCATGTCTGGCAGCCTGGCCATGTACACTGAGGGGGCCAACAGTCGTAGCACCTGAGAATGCGATCGCGCCTGCTGCGGTTATCCCACGGCTCTGGTGGGAATTCTGCCTTTGTCTTGTCCGACTTGCAGAGGCCGCGTGGCTGCATCTCCTCTGGCGCCACTTCGCACTCAAAGCAAAAGGGAAACTGATGTCGCCTGCGAAACGTCATGGGCTCGGAAAACTCGGCCCGCGGCTTCGAGCGGCAACCGTGGCATTCGGACCCTCTCTCTTTCTCTCTCCCTCTCTCGCTCTCTCTCCCTCTCTCCCTCTCTCTCTCTCTCTCTTTCTCTCTCTCTTTGCTTCGCATTTGAGGCAGACGGCGCCTTGCGTTTGACGACGGTGTTTCCACGCGGGTGCGGAATGCCCTATGTTCGGAAACGCGTTTTCGCACTTTTTGCACGAACGGTGCACCTCCGCATCCACATCGACGGCGTCCTCAACGCAGTCGGGATTATGGCGCAGGCAACCTCGCAGACAGTCGGGGCCAAGGATCAATTTGCTGCACTTGAGGTTCCAATTCGGATCTCTGGCGCCTTTCGCGTGGAGCTGGAAGAAGTTTGGCCGCGGCATCGGCCCTTTCTGACTATCTTGTCACTCTCAACGCTGCCAGGTCGCATCCTTCAACAGACTTTCCACGTTGCTGGCTTTGGCGGCTTGCTCGCACCTGCCGTCCAATTTACCCAGAGAGACCCGTCCGCGTTGAACCTTGAAGTACCCATCCAGTACCACTTGAGGCATGGTGTCTGTGTGCCGCTGGGCAGGGAGTGGGTCTGTCCTCAGGTCCTCTGCCAAATTCTTGAAGCCTCGCCTCAACACCGACTCCTGACGAGTCCTTAAGGGGCGCAGGTCCCAAATTCTCACATCTCCCGGAGCTTCCCGCGTCTCCCCGTCGCTTGTCCCAGAGAGCCCCTAACACGGGCCCAAAACTGGCCAAGAGGGCCCCAAGAGGCCCCGAAACTGTCAAACAGAGCCCCACGTCATCGAACGATCGCTCCAAGACTCTCAATATGCCCCCCGGACGGCCCAAGAGGCCTCCAAGACGCCCGAAGAGGCTTCCAAGAGACCTCCCAAGAGAACCCCAAGAAGCCACAACTATAGTTCTTGAACGACTTATGCTCTCGCCTTTCCAGCTTCCCGACGCTCCAAGACGAGGTCCCAAGAGGCCCCCAAAAGGCCACCAAGAAACTCCCCATAGGCCCCAAACTCATCCCCAGCAGCCTCCGAGAGCGCTCCGACGAGACCCGAAGAAGCATCCCTGACGACTCTGACCCTCAACCCAGGCACGGTGGCGGGATATTCCCTCGATCCCTCCTCCTCCTCCTCCTCCTCCTCCTCCTCCACCCGACACATGCGATGTCGTGATGTGTTCAATGCGTCGCCCCCAGACCTCTCGACTATTTCAAGGGGGCTGCTTTGCTCTTTCTGGCATAAGACTGATCCGGGCCCAAACATCGAGCCTACAGGTGCCCCACATGACGAAAGACTGGAGTTCACGAAGTCACCTGATGTCTGGGACTGGCGACCCACTGCTGCTCGTCCCCGAAGGGCCGCAACAAGCTTGGACGGAGAACGCGGCGTGGAGCTAGACGGGAGTCTCACTTGCGCCTCCGGCGATGCCAGGAATCGGCAACACGTGGCGTGGACACA